TACCAAATGATTTATCAATGAATGAGTTCATCGACTGCTAAATCAAACTAATTATCTCCTAGCTAAATAATATATCATGAAAAGTTCCACTATCATACGTCAAGATATGTATAGTTAATAGGTTTAGTCAAGGAGCCACTGCCCTGATTACTTAAGTGATTAAATTGACAGAAATAATTCTATGTAGTAACTCACCTACCGATATAAGTTTCTTGAAAATCTGATTCATATTTTTTGTCTAACCTATAACGTCAGTCACATATGATTTCATGGAATCCCCAAATAAGTCGATTTATTGAAAAATCTGAAAGGATTGTTTTTCATAAAACTTATCAATCAGTCAATATGTATAATGTGGGGGTGTGATATGTGGAGATCATAATCATCAATATTTCGCTATAGGCCTCGAAGTGCATGATCAAAGTATTTGGTAATTTGTACAGAATTTCGTTACAGTAGTATAATACCATTCGTGAAATAAAGAGTATGTAATTGTTATCTCGATATCTTTTCCGTTCAAGAGGGTTGTAGCTTTTTAAAATAATAATCATCATCATCATCGTCGTCATTATCGTCATCATCATTATCATCATCATCATCATTATCATCCTTATCATCATCATCATCATCATCATCATCATCATCATTTTTTACATACTATTATTACTGCAACCAATCATCCCATATATTCTCCAAAATCGGTCAAAAGTCTATTCTTTATATTTCTTTTCAAATTAGTATTCCCGAGTCAACCAAACAATACCACCAGTACTACTGTATTACGTCGCAATAAATAACAGACTTTATAAAGCAGAATGTAGTTCATTACGGACAAGCAAGTTCAACTTTATTGCTGCACATAAAATCGACGACAACATATTCGCTAAAATTAAATTTCAACTTTATATTCTTACTGGGCCTAATAATTGTCAGCTAGAAGCTGCGAGAAATCTAAAAAAACAATCCTAAATAACATATTTTTCTGTAATTGATATCACTATTACCTCATAAAAATTATAAATTGCATAGAAGAAACATTCCATTGGTCAATTGTCGGTATGATATTTTCGACTACTTACCTGCGAGTACATATTTATGCAGAGCCGGCCGGAAGTGAAGCTTTAACTCAAAATCTATGGCATGACTGGCTAACAATGATACCAACTGTTATCAGTGGCGGCACTACGGGGAGGTGGGGATTTTCTTGCATCCCAATCGTTTTTCCAAAAAAAAAAAAAAAAAGAAGAAAAATAAAACCACAATTCGTCGGGCCATCGTTTTTCAAAAAAAAAAAAAAGAAAGAAAAGAAGAAAAAAAACCACAATTCGTCGGAAAGAAAAAAAATATATGTATTTTCTACATATTATTAGAATTTATATATGAAATCGATTTAATAAGCCTCTGAAACCCCATATATTTTTCGGGTTCCGCCCCTGGACTAGCTTCAAAACATTTTAATCGATGCCCGACCACGCCTACGTTGCTCTCCTCAGGGACCTTGCCTCCTTCTAAAAAAAATTTGTACCTTTCCCTCACTCTCCCCATTCCCCCTCCCCACTGACTGTTATCATCCCTGCAATCTGCCTGCAATTAGTGTTAGGCGCCCTCTAACGTTCAGATCATGTCATAATTTGTGTAGTGGTGTGCCATTGGCCCATTGTAATCAGTGTACTCAAGCTTGTATCTAGATGTGTATAAGAGACAGGTTGAAGAGTCTTAACATTTTGTTAAATAAATAGGCCTACGTACCACGGTTCCCTCGTGTTGTTTTATGTTCAAAAGAACAATGATTGTCAGTTTTTCGACTCCCACACTGAATCTTAACACGTTCACCATTCTGGCCGCAAAATATCAGCTTCATGTTTGAAAATCCTTGTTTTCGAAATGAATTGGTAACTTTTTCCAATATTGTAGGAGCTTCTTCCAGTCTGATGCTTCTGCCTCTGATCCGATGTAATTTAGAAGGTGATCAATACGTTGTTCGTTTACTTCTTCAGCAAGACTAGACGGCTCAACAATCTTAACGTTTAACTGTGATAACAAAATAATCCATATAGTAAACTTATATTGAAATTATTATATAATTTTTGAGTACTATATTTTGCAAATGTAAAGTAAACAATGTGTTTTAATAAACTGGGGGTTTTGTGTGCCTAAAATATTATATAAGAAATATAAAAAGTTACATTATTGATTTATTTGGAAAAACGTCGATAGGGCGAATTTTAAAGTCATTGACGGTCGCCTCACAAAAGTCAAGATTATCCCATCGAATTAATCCATCGTTGCCGTTTGGTTTCATTTCTCCATGAAACAAATCTGCACACTTGTATGCAAATTGTTGATGTGCTGTTACAAGATCATTGTGCCTTCTTGAAAACATATCTTTAATGACCGACCGAAGTTTATCATTATTAAAAGACTGTTCCTCGACTTTCTGAAAATAAAGTTTGACAGAACAGTGGTTTTTTTCATTCAAGCATTGTTTGTTGTCGGGAGGGGTAATAAGGGGAGGGGTTATATAAAAAATTCATATTTCAATAATTGCTTAATCTTGTATAAGCTTATTATCGTTCATATGTATGTATCTCTTAAGCCGGTTTTCCACTAGGCGAATTAATTTCCGCGAATCAAAGCGTCGGTTCGCTTCCTGAGCTCTAATTCGTTGCGCTTTTTTTCGCTTCGCAAAAACCCGATAGAAATGTGAATGCGCATGCGTATGAACCAACGCTTTCGATTCGCGCGAACAGCTTTAATTAGCAAGGACAATTTTTCTATACAAATCGGGTCAAATTTATTTTATAATTTTAATATGAACAATTCAAAGTTTTAATCGAATTTTAAAGAAGTTGCAGATGTTACCACATTATTTTTATAATAATAATAATAATAATAATAGTAACGATAATAATAATAATAATAATAATAATAATAATAATTATTATTATTATTATTGTTATTATTAACAGTTATTATTGTCGATGCATGTAACAATAATTTTCGATTTATAAATTGTAACTAAAGTACTGACATTTTGGTTATCTTAAAGAGACTTATATTTGTATCGCTATATATTCAAACTATAGAACAAGCGTATTTCATATTGTATTTAAAAAACATACATATTCTAAGATTAGCACATCGACGATAAAATGTTAAATTATGTTACTTTGTTAATATTTCATAATAGGCCTTCTTAAAATGACCTTCAAAAATATAATATCTAGGTCGTATATTGATTAAATCAGGCTTACCGCAGACGTCGAAGAATACAAGTTTCTGGATTTTCCTTCATTCATGATTATACCTATACAAATTTGATAAATAAACATACGAGCTTTTTGACTATTGTAAATCGAAAAAAATCGAAATCATAAAAAGTATAGACCTAGCTTTGATTTCCATGCATTGGCTAACGGTTTCGTAGGTTTATTAGAGTTTAATGCTTGTAAACATAAATGGATAATCTAAAGTTGTTTAGGAGTCGGAGAAAAATTTGATAATTTCTACAAAATTTCAATTAGCAATAAGATTTGCGTTGCGTTGCGTTCTGCACAGGATAGCCTTCGGTGCAGTGAGTGTTCGGTTTAGGTGATAGAAGAATGTTGTGTCATTGCTTGTTCTAAGTGTGTTTAGGCAAAATTGAGAAAAATTAAATAACTTTAATAGTAGACTTTAAAAACACTATTTTATTCGTAACTCGCATATTTCTGCCACTCCTTTGGCCTTCATCAGCGATAGGCTTTACATTTTTTAAAGATTCTGCATAAGTGAATTAATAGGTAAATGAAATATAAATATTAAATTTGCTAACAATGTATCTTCCAGGGTTGTCTTAACCCTTCGGTCATTGGCCTTTATCAAGTTATCATTTGATATTCGTATACTGATTTGCGTCACGAAGGATTGTTTGCCAGCTCGCACACATGGTAAAACACACCGGGACTTATCGCGTTACAAACATGTCAATTGTATTGTATTTGGATTAGCCCATGATTAGAAGAAGAAGAACGAACTTATCTGATTTGAAGAAAGCTACCTATTTACAAATACCTTTTCTTGGAAAGCAACCTATTCTCTCAATAATTGTGATTATCCCAGTATATTTCCGATAGCTTTATTAGCTTAGATGACCACTATACAAAGTTTATTATCACTATTAAAAAATTGGAACGAATACTTTCAAAATGTATTACTGATTAAGTCTACTTATACTTAATAACGGCGTATAGTTCTAGAAATTGTAGATTATAGAAACAGTATAAGACCGTCACCAAATTAATTTGGACATTTGAGCGCACTGGACGCAATAATAATTATACTTCATAGTATTCAGTGATTATCCAATTTAGGGCCTCGAATCCAGGTCAATTTCCAGAGTGAACGTTTAAATTACAAACTTATACAGAATCTGTTATCCCTTTCAAGTACTTTGAACTCTCCTTTTGTGTCAAAATATCCAAAAATTTCAGTGGGGTCATTAAATTTTCCCGCGCGAATGTGGAATAGTATATTACCACATAATATAGACTTAGTTACTTTTGTGTCCTTCCAACATATTTGTTTCTCCACTAAAGTTATACAGACTTGAATTAATCGTCTAAGGGCGGCCTGTTTTGATGTGCCGCTGGAACCTTCACTGCCACATTTATTTATTTATTTATTTTATTTAAAACATCTTTAGGCAGGATAACATATACAGGCGAGATCTTACCGCTGTTTTACAATATGGTCCTGCAAACACATATTAAAATAACAATAACAACAAAATAAACAACAGTTATCAATCGACCCAACGTACGTTTGTTTATTTCATCAAAAACTGAGGTGGAAAACAAACAGTATACAACTTATAAATCAATGCATGAATGACCGTGTCCCGACAAAATATAAGTTATTAAATTAACAAATATATTTTATGTTTCATAACACGTCAATGTTGTCGTTGATTCTTTTTTTAATCCATTGTTATATAGACCTAAATAGATATTTATTACGGTTTATTAATCTAGCATTTTCGAATTTAATAAATAATAAAAACAGTAATGATAACAATTATAAGTAAAAAAGGAACAAAACGAATGGAAACGCAAATAATAATGATTACGATGATGATCATGATAATGATCATGATCATGACATAAATAGTAATAATATAATAATAATAATAACAATAATGCTATGTAAAATGTATAAACACTATTAAAATCGTCCTTACAACAACCTTCGTGTTCATTATTGACAACACCTATTTTGATTTTAACAACTTTGCATCGGATTTTGATTCGTACGTTGTACTCTCCATTTAGAATCAATTTTACATTATTCATTGCTTCTGGTCGCATCATAGCGTTGCTAAATTTCGCCCATCTATAGGAGCTTTTTGGTCCACGTTGAACACCCAACCGTTGAGAGCTTTTTTAAAAGTGAAGAAGATACTTGCTGTTCACTAGCAAGGTTAAGAAGGCTTTCTACTTGCAAGGTTATCTATAAAGAACAAAATGCAGTGTTCTGTATAAATTGGTGGTAATTAGTTGCATCATTGTACCTATGGTTGAATAATGTTAAAAGGCACTGTACGCAAGAGGGCGGGGAGCCGTCGACTGCGGAAATTCGGGTTAAGCGCCCTATTGTTTACTGTGGTCTTCACTTTCTGATGAGCACAAAACCACTATTTTTTTTAGGCCTATTTAAATTTAAATCAAAATCACAAAGAGATCAACAATAATTAAATGCTTAAGTGCAATATAAGCCTAGATATGTCTTGTCACTAGGATATTATTGTGTGAAATAAAATTTCCAATCAGTATTGAACAAAAGTTCTGGTTCTGGTTAGGTACTCCTGAAAGCCCTTCAAAGGAGCAAAGCGAGAAGGGTGGTGGTAGTTGAGTTATTGGCTTTTGAGATGGTTGATACCGCTTTTGAACTTTTCGTTATCTTGGATTGCAGTGATATGCTTGAGGAGTTGAATCCAGTCAAGTAATGCTTAAGGTGTGCACGAGTAATTATAACAGTCCTTTGATGAAAGTACTGCACTATAGGCAATTAAAGCAGTATATGCATGCAATACTTCATGACCAATAACTATAGACATATGGATAATGTCAGTAACTAGGGCCAAGGTTCAATTATGGTATTTCTTGTCATTTTCTAGGAAATGTTTTATACAGCAAATAGACAATATGTTACGAACAACTTGATTCTAAAAACAAATCATAACAATAAGTAGTTGTCAAGATATAAGCACCTGATATTATCAGTATTTATCCCGAGGAAAATTTTTTGATAACATAATTAATGTAATGGATAAGTTAGTTTTTATTGATTCTTTCATTCTAATAAAACATAAACCTAAAAATGTCTACCGAAATATTCTGTCAAATCTCACCGTTGTTTCCACACCTCCGTTTCTCAATTCTTTCAGTTTTAGTTTACAATCATTAGATACAAATTTGATTACAGAGAGTTTTGATGATATAACCAATTCATGTTCTTCTTCACCCGATTCCTGCCTGCAGATCCATTGTGCGCATGCACGCGCACATTTCTGTTCCTCCGATCCAGGATCAACGTGGCGTGAATGCAAAAACATGTCTATGAATTCTAGCAACGATCTTGATGAAAGTTTCTCAAAAGCCTTTAGAAAAATAATATAACAAATATAATAAAACACGGTACAATAAGTAGACATAAGAAATAACGTACACCCACATATAGGCCTACATAACATACATATATAGGCCTATAGGCCTACATATATTTATGTACATATACATACGTATACATACATATGTTACCAAATGATCGATGACGCAATAAACCGCTAATAAAATTAAAAAATATGACGATACTTTTTAAAACGATCATTTCAGGCAATGCCTGAAAACTTTATTAGGCCTGCCATTGCTGGCCTTACGCTACACTGTTAAAAATAAAGGTGCAACTAAAGGTGCAAAGATAGAAAATGGTGCACAGTTGCACCTTTTTCTTATAAAAAGGTGCAGAGAGGGTGCAGAGTTCAAATAATCGATTAAAAGGTTCATCTTTGCACCTTTTGTTATCGGAAAATGAAGATGGTGCAAAAATGTACCTTTTTATAGTAGAAAGGAACAAGTCTAGCTTTGTCAAAAGCTAGTATTAGTTACAAAACATGTTCTGTTTGGGTTTCATACGAGTGTTCGACACAGAAATGTGGTGTATTACCTTGAAAAATGTTTCAATATAGGCCAGCATTAATTTCTTTAGACAAGCAGGTTCTGTAAAGCCTATTTGATTTGGTTGAGTATTTGTAGGGCCTACAATAACGGAGAGCGTCATTGAATAAAATTAAGCAATGACAGATTTTTCATGGCTTTACATCAGTGCTAGCAGTGCTAGTCCTACGTGAAGTAAGTAGACCTATATTTAAAATGAAAAACCACTGGTAGTCCTTCACTTATCCTATTATCATGAAACAGTTAAATGGATATACATAAAACACAGGTGATTTAGTTGCCGTGTGGTAAAAAAAAAAAGGCATGATTGACTCAGAAGGTGCAACTTCAAGTGGTCTGAAAATCTCATTGGGTTCATTATTACCACATCAAGGGTGCAAATTCGTAACTTGGGGCTCAACTTAGTACTTGCAGGGTTCACAACAGCA